CCCCAAAACCCCAAAACCCCAATCATCTTAATTTGAAACTTAAAGTGAATTACTCAAATTAATCAAATTAAATTTATTTTTTATTAAATTTTTAAGAATTAGAATTAATACAATTAAAGTCATTATTCTACAGGGGCTGGTCTTCCAAGACAATCTTCCTAGACTCCCCAAACATAAATGTCATAGACTTCACCCTTGGAATTTATCATTCTATCTCCAAATGCAGAATCAACTGAGTGAGGAGTTGATGAATTGAAGATCCAAATTCCACTTATACAATCACCTACATTCTCCCAAATAGCAGTTGCAATATCTTGAGGAGTACTTGACTCTGTCACATACTATTGTAGATCTAAATCACTTGATAGAGATGATGTCGAACTATTGCTTAACCATGCTGCGATACCACTATAATCACCTGTACTAGCATTTATACAATTCCAACATTCAGAATAAAAATCACCCTCTTCACTAGAAATATAAGTCACTCCTAGAGTTACCAATAACTCACTGTAAATCACATTTAATGCATATCCATTAAAATTCTCGCTGAAGACTTCGAGACTTAGCCCTGGATTATCTGACATTAATTGTACCAGATTTTAGGTCATGGTAAATGCAACAGACTATTGGGCTTGTATATCGAATTCAATTACTCTTTGAATAACTCTAACTAATGCATCTATATAGTACTAATTGTTAAAATCAATTTAGTCTTGATCTAAACTTGAGTTATAGGAATTACAGCCTGTCTACTATGCCACTCCCATTGAAATATACATAATTAAGTACCCTGCTCTATCAGCCAGAGCATCCCTCCAACCTGCATAGAAGTTACTTTGGGGATCCCCATTATAAAAAGCTCCTAATAAATCACACTCTCCTGTTCCTTCTACTAAGCCAATTAAATCATCAAGGAAGTTAGAGTAGTTGGGCTCTGAAGTACAAAACTGTTAAAATTCAGTTGCTTGTTGATCTTCATTATTCAAAAATTTCTTATACTTTGCGTAACCAGAGTAAATCTCAGCAATGCCTTCTGAAAAATATGTGTAGCATACAGGATTGTCAAGATTGTAAAATAAGCTTGATATTTGCTAATCTATCAGACCAAAGCTTCTTGAGTCAGCATTGCTAATTGCTTCTAGCACAGAATCAATAAGAGTTTTGTTAATGTTAAGTTCTCTAATTTAATTTACCAAAGCTATATCGACTGCGTATTCTTAGTAATTAATGAGAGCAGGAATAATTTTCTAAGCTGCTTAGTATGGAGTAGCTGTACCATTTAGAGAATTTGCAAAATCAGTGAAGGTAGTAATAAACTATTCCAAGATTTAATTATTATCAAGCTAATCCTAGCATTAGATTAATCCAAGTCCACTTAAGGACAGGAAAAGAGTCTATTTCATCTTTAACATTACAGATAATGGAATGATTATTTAAAGAGAGATTGGCTTAAATATATTTTTGTAAGTTACTAAAGTTACTAATTTATTCCATTTAATTGGAATAAATATGGGCACTACAATAACCAAGGTCACTTAATTTCTTAATTACTATCCTATTTAAGTAAATCCTTTTAATTAAATATCATCTTACTTATAAACTTATAATCTCAGATTGATGGGGTTTTGGGGTTTTGGGGGGTTTTGGGG